ACATACACATGACAAACAATACAAAGAAAACCTTCAAAAGCTCAACACTTTAGTATTTTTTCCTCTAAGCCACGTTAGTCCATTTGCTATGAAGGAGCTTTTCTTTCCCACCCACTCCTTTATCTCCATTATAATCAGTCTTCAATCTAACTGCAGGAACACCTCTTAATGGGGGCTACTGTGTCTGAGACCTTAACCCTCCGATCTGTCATATGCCATGGACATATCCTCCTCCCACCGTTTGCCAGCTTTTTGGCCTTTATCAGTTTTATATCTTGTGCACATTCATCTTTCTCGCACTCCGATCTCATCTCATCCTCCCCATGCCCTGAGCCCCAACTGCTCCCTGTTGTCCCAGGTTCATACTCTGCAGCCTGGTACTCGAGACCCATGACTGTACCCTCTGCATCTCATCTCCCACGCCTCCCCCGCAGAATCCCTCTGCCCTGGATAGCCCTATCTCCTCAGCATCCCTCAAACATACCTTATTTATTTCCAACTAGAGTATTCAACATCCTTTTCCCTTTGTTCCAGTTTCCCAAATCCTATACAACCTTCAGGGTGCAGCTTCAGAAGATGCATATCTAATGANCCAGTTTCCCAAATCCTATACAACCTTCAGGGTGCAGCTTCAGAAGATGCATATCTAATGAATCTACAGTGAAGAAATGAGGCTGAGCAGACATGACAGTAACTGAAAGCAAATGGCTCTCAATTACCACTCATTCAATGGGCTCAAGCTCATTCAGTGGGTTCCAACAGGGCTGCTTTGGGGAAACAGGATGGCTCTAGCACTGTGCCAGATGCTAAATTGTACAAGTTTTGGGCCGGCCCGGTGGCGCACTGGATAGTGCGCCGCTTGGGAAGCGTGGAGGCGCTCCCGCCCAAGGGTTCGGATCCCACATGCAGACCGGTTCCCGCTCACTGGCTGAGCGAGGCGCGGGAGCAATGCTGAGGGTTGCAATCCCGTTGCCGGTCCCCGGTCCGGTACGGGGGCAACACTGAGGGTTGCGATCCGTTGCCGGACACGGAAAAAGACAAAAGACAAAAAAATAAAAAAATAAAATAAATAAAATAAAATAAAATAAATTGTACAAGTTTTGTAATATGAGGTCCCCAAAATGTGTGCTAGAGCTACTAAGATTCTCTGCGTTGAAAGTCATAAAGAAGACTCAATCACACCACCCAGCATTGCCTGCTTTTAACTTTTTTGCCCTTGTCATGTTCTCTCTGGCTTGCAGATATTATTTTATTATCATTACAGCCACCACAAGTAATTTATTTATTTTTTCAACTGAACAAAGTTGCTTTAAAAAATGCCTCATGATCAAGGGATCAAGGGTGCAAATCCCTGTACCGGCCGGCCAGGAGGGAAAAAAAAAAAAAAAAGCCTCATGAACTGGAGGTACCAGGTTCTGAAAGCTGGAGTAAACAAGCAATTGTACTTGTGGCAGGTCTGTCTGGCTGAATTTGCACTTGAACTGGCTGGTGAAGAGTCAGTCAGTGTTACATATTCATAAGAACAGAGGTTTTCATCTGCTCTTGTAGTGAAGTCATGTTGCTTACATTTCANTATTCATAAGAACAGAGGTTTTCATCTGCTCTTGTAGTGAAGTCATGTTGCTTACATTTCATCATTCATACGATACAAAATAGATTTTCTTGGTCTTAATTAAGTGTGAGGGAATGTGCAGTTCAGGGGATTCTGCAAGCGACAAAGCCTCAAATAGAGTGCCCTTCCTCCCCAAATCTGTAAACACACACACAGTGATACAGTTAATACAAATAGCATTTGGTGACCAAATCAGGAGCACATTCTCAAGTAGTGCCGGTAGTGGGCTCCACTTTCTCCTTCTGGACAAGGGTGTGGGTGCTGTGGCCCAGGCAGAGGCCCGCACAGGTGAGATCCTACGCAGTTCAAAGGAAAGCTTTGGAGACGACACAGAACCCACTGTCATCAGGAGCTGGTAAGTGATGTTGGACGTTTTCCAGCGCCCCTCTAGGGAGAGCTAAAGGGGATCTGACCTGGTGAGTCAGTCTGCACCTGAGGATGTTGAATCCAGAAAAAGAGGAAAGAAAAGAGGAACACAGAGAGAAATGTACCATAGCTAATGGCACACCAGAGGTCCCATTTCTTGATGTGATATGTTTTTAGGTCACAATAACACTCAACACTCCTTTATACAAACAGATAGTGTGTGTATATATGTATATATGAGGGTACTTCAAAAAGTTTATGGAAAGGGCTGGCCAATCAGCTCAATTTGTGAGAGCGTCCAATAAACACCAAGGTCCAGGATTCGATCTCTGTACCAGCTAGCCGCAAAAGAAAAAAAAAAAAAAGTTCATGGAAAATTTTGTATTATCTTTAAATTCTATTTTTCCACAAACTTTTTGAAGCATCTTCATGTGTCTGTGTGTGTATACATATGATTACCAAAATGTCAAAGGTATATTAGTGTGCTATCTCAGGGTGAGAACA